GGGTGCACGCACACACAACCAGATACATGCGTGCAACACGCAGATACGATGCACGCACACACAGGTGCACGCACGCATGCACGCCCCACCACACACAGTACACATCACCTGCACACGCCCGCACCCATCCGTGCACGTGCTCCGAAGGGCCCTGTGGTCCTAGGCCGTCGGCGCACTGGGATTTCCGATGGGGATTGTACTTCCAGGCCCGTGTTTCTGTGCAGGAGGGAGGCTTTCCCCCTCCGTCAGAGGGAAGGGGGAGTGAGCCCGTGGAGTCAGCTCCTGGCGCCCATGACGAGGCCAGTCCAGCTGGAGTGTTTGGGAGGAGCCAGGAGGTTGCAATATTGTGGGGAGCAGGCAGCCCCTGGCGGTTCGGCTGCTTTATTTGTGGGTGTGATTCATGGCGAACGAACAGCTGCTGACACCTACCCCGAGGCGTATAAAATATTCAGGAAATTCCTCCCCGAGAGTCGACAGCACCGCTTCCCGCTGGTCGCTGGTGCCTGGTGCTGGTGATGCGCGTTTCCCACGGGAGCGTCCGCGGGCGGAGGCACGGTGACGGCAGGAGCTCAGGGTCACCCCGGGTCAGCCCGAGGGCCCCCCCCCCCCGCCGCCCAGCCGCCCCAGGGAAGGGCTGCCGAGGAGCGTGGACGCTGAAAGCACCGGAAGGAGCGCAGGGTGTCACTGGAGAGGAACGGAAAGGGGGGAACGCCATGGGAGTTGAAATTGGGGGGCCTTCCGCTGGGCTCTTCCGGAACGGCCGACCTTGAGTGGTACCAGCACCCCGGCCTCCACACCGTGGCGTGTCCGTCGTGTTCTTTGGCAGCAGGCTGTCGTTCTGTCCGTCCGCATGGGTCTCGGCCGGTGCAGCATCTGTGATGCTTTGGTGTGACCCCCTCCCCCCCCCCCGTGATACTCGGCGTACTTGATTGTCACGTTCTCGTTTCATCGTGTTTATGCCTTTCTCCGAATCCTGTCGTTGTGTTCCTGCAGCTGTGTGACCTGAGGGCCGCAGTTGTGGATACGTGTGAGGGGGATTTCAGGGTAAGCGGCCCCAGCCCGCCGGGCCCCGGCGCTTGCTCGGCTCTGCATGTGGCTCGGACCTCCTCCCCGCATGGCAGCTCCGCTCCGTGCCTCCCCCCACGTGGCCTCGGCGGGGGGGAGCGCCCGGGTCCCCGAGCTCCTCCGGCTTTCGGGGGGGATCACTGGCCTCCTGCGGGCTGGCTGGCTTGGCGCTAGGAGACAGGGAGGAAGTCCGCAAGCAGGCTTCGCCGGCTCTCCCCTCTGCCTCTGGCTCTCGGGCACCCGGGTCAGCCCCGCGATCCCTCTCCCTGGGGCCTAGAACCACAGGGCTCCCAGGTCCGCTCTTCCTGTGGTGTCTCTCTTCCTCGGGCTGCCTGCTGCAGACCTTGGTGCCCGGTGCCCCGGTCGCTGCGTACGCCTTGGCTCGGGGAGGTGTCCCCAGGAGGGTCCTGGGGCACAGCGGGTACAGCGGGCCAGCCTCTGCTGCGGGGTCGGAGCGGCTTCTCTGCAGCCGTGAGGTCGTCCTGGCAGACCCCCCCCTTTGAGAGGTGGGCTCTAGCTTGCCTTCCTCGGGGCCAACACAGCGGGCGAGCCCTGAAGAACCCCCAGTGGTAGGATTCAGGCCAGAGCTTGTGTCCCCCAGGGCCTCTGGCCGGCTGGCTCCTCGCTCAGTATTGGGGGGGGCGGCGGGGAGGGGAGCATTACACCGGTTTCTGCCTCCTCTCCTCTGCCCACAGCAGGCAGGTGTTCAAGATTAAAACCAAGGGACGTGCAGGAGAGAAGCCGGCGGGAATCAGGGGTTCTTGTCTGCTAAGCCCTGGGTCCTGTGGACACTTGGGGCAGCAAGCACAACACAAGGGCGTCCCCTGCCTGCCCACCCACAGGTCTCATTCCAGACACTTCTGACCCTGGCAGTCGGTGGGGGCTTCTCTCCCCCGATCCTGCAGTCGGTGGGGGCTTCTCTCCCTTGATCCTGCTCTCTGGCGACTGAGTTGCCTTCCCCGAGGGGTCTGAGGGAACAGCCAGCATCCAAGCTGACAGGTCCTGTTCAAACCTGTCATCCGGCTCTGAGATTCCCCTTGGGGCCACAGGGAAGGTAAACCCGCCCGAGGCCACTCTCCCTACATGACAGGAGATTTGAAATCCGAGCAGCAAAACGCTGCAGGGCAGGGGGCCCCAGCCGAAAGGGCAGGACACAGGCCGGCAGCTGTACCCCGAGGATGGAGGAGTGTCACTAGCAGAGCCGAGCCTGGGACCCCCGTCTCTGTGCTGAGGCGGCGGGTCGAAGACAGGAATGACGTTTTGAGGACTGGGGGGGAGGGGGGCTGGTGACAGAAGGACCTTTTGTCCCGGAGCTTCCATGTTTGTATGTCTTTTAGCGCAGCGTCCACATGTCTGTCTGTCCACCTGGTGTAGTACGCTTAGGCTGAATGTTGGTTTTACAAAAAAATCCTAACGACGAAGAAACCAGCCCACCCACCCCAGGCTGGCCCAGAGCCGCCCCCGTTCTGGGAATGCCTCCCCTGTCATCCGGGCCCAGGGTGACGGCAAGGCTCAGTGGGGCCCGAAACGAGGCAGGCCAAGGATGGGGTGACACTGTCCGATCCTCGGTTCTGGGCCCACCGTGCTCCCCCAGCGTCCACAGGCTGAGCGTGCCGCCACCCCTTGGGTGTCCTCCGTGGGCTCGCCTGTCCTGAGCTGCCTCCCCACCGGGAATGGAATTGGGGGGTGCGCAGAGGCCGTGGCCCAGGAGCTGTTGCCGCGCTCCTCGAGCGTCCCCGGCCCGATGCGATTGGCTTGCTCGGGTCGTGCACGCTCACGGGGCGGGAGCGGAGCAGCCCAACCCCAACCCTTTGGTGCAGCAGGCTGCCTTGGCCGCCCCGGGGGCCCGGCCACCACCACCTCCTGCGCCCGGCCGCCGCTCTCAGCCGCCTCTCTCTCTGCCGCCTTGCAGATCTCGTCCACTTTGACATCCCCTCCATCCACGTAGAGCTCGGGCCGCCGCTCCGCCTGAGCCCCCTGGAGCACGCGCGGCGACACTCGGTGACAGAGAAGAGGGACTCGGAGGAGGAGTCTGAGAGCACCGCCCTCTGATCCGCGCCCGCCCCTCGTGTACATACCCGGGCCCCGCCCCGGAGCGCCCCTGGGCTTGCCAGGCGGGAGTTGTGCAGATCGCCCTCCCCTGTGCGGGCAGACTTCGTTCGTTCCCTCAGGGTGGGACTCTGGCCTTTTGTTTGATCTTTGCCTTTTGACTTTGTGCCTCTTTTGATCCACTTTCGGCCTCCATGCCAAGGGGCACCCCCTCCGCCTGAGGGCTTCCGTGTCAGAAAGGTCCTTTGCGGGTGCAGGCTGGGGGAGGTGCGCAGGAGGGTCGGGGTGCCTGGTTCCACTCGTGGCTACGGGGGGGTGGGGAACACAACCTCTCCCCTACAGCGCACGAGTTCTGGATTCTAGAAGTCCCGGCACTGACCTTTGCCTGCTGCACAAGCTGGGGAGGGGGCCAGCCCGTGTAAAAATCTTTCAGGCTGCCCTTGCTGCGTGGGCTCTAAAGTCAATGGCTTCAAACCCAATTTGTTTCACTTCCTAACGGTTTTACTTTTCCCGACCATGTGACTGAGAGCTTCGGTCCCTACCTTCTTGTTTTGTACTTCTGAATTTGAAAAGGTGATCCTGAGGGTGTCTGGACGGCCCACCGAGGGCTCTGCTCGGTGGGGGCCGGGAGCCTGCCTCTCCTCCCGGGTGGCCACGGGGACTAGCAATAAATCTGTTACCCAGAGCATGCGCAGGGCGGGAAGGTGGCCTGCGGGGACCCGAGGCCACCGGGCCTGCAGGGTGGCGGGCTTCGCTCAGCCGCGGCTCACCCCCCACCCCTTTCCTCCTCGGGGAGTCCCATCCGTTCTCTGGGAGCCCAGTCACACTTCAGGATTGAAGGAGCAAGACAGATTCGGGTCATGCATGCCAAGTCACTCTTTCCGATTTTATCCTTTTAAAATAGATCCGATATACCTATACAGGATATAATATTTGTATATATGAAATCTATATTTGTTTAATTTGAGCCATTCAAACTAAACCAATGTATAGGTGTACAATGAGAAATTTAAAGGCCTAATTATTTTTCCCGACAACAGTGTAAGATAACTCTGCCCCGATGGTGGGATTCACCAACTTTTTGGATGTTAACAGCTTTGCTCACTTCCTGACAAGGACGGGTCCGTACCCAATTTGTAATGGAGCCCAGGGGTCGAAAGTTACCTTTAAATACATGTACAAATAGTTGTTGAAAGTAATGTTATTAAAATAGATTTATTATCCCTGAGCGTGGCCTATCTTCTTGTGTTGCGGACACGCCTCCGTGCAGGGGACCCTCAGGAGGACATCGGAGGTCACAGCTGGGCCAGGCTAAAATGCTCGGTCGGCGTCTTCCAGATCGCCTGCGCTTTTAAAGCTCTGTGTTCTCACAAATAAATACCAAATTAATTAGTGGGAAGTTTCCATTTCCAAGCACTGACCTCAGTGTTGTTAAATCCCAAAAGAAGGGCAGGAGAGCCAGCTCGACGTCCGATCTCCACACTCTGAGGGCAGGGAGGGCGTCTCGTTCTCGCCATGGGGCAAGCACATCCGTAGTCTCCCATTTCCCCTGCCATAGCGCGAAGACTTGCGTTTTCCTGAGCCGCTGCCCGGATCCTGCTGGCGTGGCTTGACTTGGTCAAAAACTAGGCTACAGCGGGGTGGCAGCTCCCCGGGCCCCGGCCGCGATCAGAGCTGGCTTGCAGGTCACACCGGGTACCGGGTGGCGCAACTCTGCAGGGCAGGGAGACGCCTGCTCCCAGGTGGCACCGGAATGAAGCAGGGCACTCAGGTTCCAAGCGGCCTCTTTGTCTTTGCAAAGGCTATTCCTGGACTCCTGTCCACCACCCAGCGCTCGGGGATGTGGCTGGCCTCGGGAGTGGGCAGGCCGGTTTTCCGTGTGACTTCTTTAAAAATCGGTCTGTACCGAATTCGAATTGTCCCTGGTCTTCCATCCAGCAGCCTCACGTCCCGAGGCACCGGCCGTAGGAGGTGTCCAGCAGGGCCGTCCCTGTGCGGGGCCCTCGCCAAGGCCCGGGTGCACACCCCCCCCCCCACGCCCTGGTGCCTCCCGGTCGAACTGAGCCCTCCGGCTCCCACCAGGTCAGGGAAGCCCACGCCGTGCCATCTGGAGAACGCCAGCCTTGCAAGTCCAGGGTCCCTCCCGCGCCCTCACTGGGCCCTGACCTTCTTGCTCTGGGGGCTCTGAGGCTGCTCTGTGAGGGCCCGTTTCTGCAGGGGCGTCCCGTCCTCGGGGCCACGCGCCTGCTCCCTGGACAGCAGGGCCGTCCGCGCCAGCCGCACCTCCCGCTTCTCCCTCCGCTCCTCCATCTCCTCGATGTCGCCGGCAAACAGGGCTTTGAGCGGTGCGGTCAGCTTGGGCACCGTCGGGAGGTCCCCGAAGCCGACCTGGAAGGCGAGCCCAGAATCCGGATGTGCGTCCAGGGCCCGGCAGGAGCTGGACGGAGGGGGCCCTCTGCCAGCTCCCTCTCGCCCACCTCTGTGTCAGCTGACCACAGGGACGAGGCCAGGGAGGGAGGAAGCCCTCTCAAGAAAGGAGCACAGACTCCCCACTCCTGGCTTAGGGGCCCCCACTGAATGGGCCTCCGGAAAAGAGAGGCAGCCCAGACTCTGAAAACCAGGCTTGTCAGAGGCATACCCCGCCCCCACCCTTGTTCAGGGAGGCCGGAGGGGCTTCCCCAGCAGGAGAGGGGAGCACACCTGTCTCCCCCAGTCACGGGCCTGGGGGAACGGTGTGGGCCAGAGTCCCCCCATCACTTCCAGCAGCCCAAGACTCAAGTCTGTCCCGAAGGCCCTGGAGCAGGTGGGCCCGCCAGGGGGCATGGACAGACCCTTCTACCCTTGGCCCCGAGCACCCTGCGTAGGGAGCACTGTCTCCGCCCCACCCCTCCCACCCCCCCACCCGGCCCGCGGGGCACAGACCTTCATGTGGTCAAAGGCAATCCCCACTTTCTCGTTGAAGTCGGGGCTGAAGAGTGGCACCTTGGCATAGCGCTGACTGAAGTGGTTCAGCATGGTGAACCCCGCGTGCATCCGCACCCCCACGCCAATCGCCTGGGAGGTAGTGCTGCCAACAGACGGGCCACATGAGGCTGATGCCCAAGTGCAGGGAAGGCCCCGGCCCCCAGACTTGCCCCGTGCACCCCAGGAAGGCCACCTCTGTCGCCGACACCAACTCTGCTAAGGGCCAGATTCCTCACTCATGCCCCCAGATGGAGCCCAGGCCGAGCGCTGGCGGGCACACCACCCATCCGTGAGGGCAGCAGAGCACAGGCAGGTGGCTCCTCACTCGGGGGACACTCTTGTCCCAGCAAAGCCCAAGAGCTGCCCCGGGCCCTCCTTCCCCCGGCAGGTCCCTGATGTGGCTGACAGCTGATGTCTGTGTATCTGCAATACTCGGAGAAACCTGCCCCGGGTGGCCCCCTGCCCGGACAGCGCTGCAGAAGCAGGCAGAAACCCCCACGGCCTCGCGGGGAAGCAGGCCGGCCGGCCTCGGGTCACTGTCACTGGGGAGCACGGTGCGTCCCCGCGGGGCAGGGAGCGGGTGACCGCAGCTCAGGGCTCTCCCCTACCTGTGTGTCTTTTCCACAGCCTCCTCCTCCAGGCCGTCTTCCAACGTGGCCTCGTGTATCAGGAGGGTGGCGTCCTTCCCTAGAGAATAATGAGCACAGCCCGTGGAGCGGAGTCCCCTGCCTGACAAGCGCTGGGCCCGGGGTCCTCAGCCCCTCCCCGGCCCGCTGCCTCTACTTACCCATCTGGACCAGGGCCTCGCAGGGCATGGTATCCCCGGAATAGACCACTTTCCAGCCGGACGTGTGGACCAGCGCGCAGCCGAAAGCATGCTTGCAGTGCCGGACCAGGCAGGTCTGAAACTGAAGCAGCAGGCGGGCAGCTGTGCAGGGGCCCCCTCCCCCTACCCCCCCCCCGGCCTGCGGGCGCCCCCCCACCTCTTCCAGGTCACACGCTCCCAGCAGCGAACCAATCAGCCTTTCAACCGCGGGGCTGGAGACCTCCGCTCCTTTCTGAAGGCACTTGGCGGGAATCAGGCTGTGAGGACACACAAGGGTTACGCAGCAAACACGAAAAATGTGATTCAGAGTTCAAGCGTCTGGCTAGAGAACCCCAAACTCCTTACCATAAAGAAACACAAATCCGTCACTAAGAGAAAAGAGCAGAGCCAAAGCAAGCCCCCCAACCCAGGCCGTGGCAAGGGACCCGCAGGACAGGAAGGGCCCGCCCTGTGGCAGCCGCAGCTCGAGGGTTTCGTGGAGAATCTCGAGACTAGAACGGAACCGCCAAGAGGGCGGAGAACAGACGCAAACGAGCGTGCAGCGGGCACTGGCCTCACTCCTTCCCACCGCCACGCCCCCGGGCCCCGGGAAGGCAGCGTCGGGGCGTGGCCGGGCAGGGGCGTGGTCAGCATCGGGGCGTGGCCGGGGCCAGGGCGTGGTCGGCCTGGGGGCGTGGTCGGGGCCGGGGCAGGGCGGCGGCGGAGTTGGGGCCGGGGTCGGGGTGCCTGTGCCCACCTCACGTGCTGCAGCAGCTGCTGGCACTGGTTGTGGTACATATGGAGCCAGGCCTTGAGCTGGGTCGGGGCGACCACCAGCAGCGGGGGACACGGCTTCCCCAGGGACGCCTGAGACAAGGACACCGGAGCCGTTGAGTCAGCGACAAGAACAGTTCCGGGTGGAGCAGGTGTGGCTGCGAACGTGCAAACCACCAAACTCAAATGTCCGGAAGATCGAGGGCCACACTCACCAGAGCCCGTTCTCTCTGCAGCAGAATATTCAGCAAGCCCTGGGGGGCCGGGGGGGTGTGGAGAAGGGGACACGCGTCAGCCACGACCAAAGTCGCCTCTCCGCCCGGCGCCCGGGTTCTGGAGTCCTCCTCCCTCCCTATCGGCCGCTGCCGTGGGCGGTGTGATCGGGGCGGGGGACCAGCCGGCCCGGGGACAGCAGGCCTCCCGTCTCCGGCTGAGGTCCCCCTGGAGCAGGCCAGCCGGGGTGAAGGCCAAAGCCTCGCTGCAGCAGGACGGCAGGGCGCACGGAGGGACGAGGCGGCGCCCCCAGCAGAGCGACTGCACCAGCGAGAGGAAAAGTGGCGGCGGGGGCCGTCTGCGAGGAAGGGCAGGAAAGGCAAGCAGGGGGCGGGGGGGGCGGTGCAGGGGTCACGCTGACCCGGGCAGCCCGTGCCCTCCACTGGGGCCCCACCATCCGCCGCCGCTCACCGTGTGGTGATCCGCGTGCAGGTGGGACACGAACACGGCGGCGAGGGTGCCCAGGACCCTGTCCACCTGGCCTCCGTAGTGTCGGCACAGCTGCCCAAACGTGCCTTCGCCACAGTCCAGGAGCAGGGACGCGTCGGGGCTGTGGACAAGAGCGACAGTCACTGGTGCCGGGAAAGGCTTCGAGGTCTGGAGGGTTTGCGTTTCTGGAGAAGAGGCGGAAGCGGCTGTGTGCTTCCTACGTCTTCCAGAACCCCTCGTGCTCATTCCGAGAAGCTTCTCTAAACACGAAGGCCGTTTTGGACGGCCGAGCTCATTATTTGAAGGGACTGATTAGCCACGGAACCCTGCACCCCCTCAACGTACGCGGAGTCCCCTGAGCCACACAGTGCTGGCACCCAGTTTGGGGAACGGGGGGCAAAACCACGTGGCCCTGAGGACACGGGAGATGCACGTGCACCTGCTGCCCTCGTCAAGCCCCCGGGGACAGGCCGGGCCTGCCGAGCCGCTTGACTGCACCCCCTCAGCGGCCAGAGAATGCGTCCCAGACGGTGCATTTCTGCTGGCGGGGTGCACTTGCAAGTGCTGTGTGCGCGCAGCGCGTCAGCTGGCGGGCCGCCCTCCACCGCCAGCATCTCAGACGGCAAAGCCAAATTTCAGAGCCAGCCCGCTACTGCGCAGTCTGACTTCCTGCAGACGTGAACACGGCTCGGGGCCCGGACTGACCTCTCTGCGGGCCAGGACACCAGGCAAACCCAAGCGAAGCCCCCAAAACCCACCCAGTCCGGGGGCTGACGCCGAGACAGCGCACACACCCAGCAGCTGTCCCCCGCAGTCACCAGTCAGGACACGGCCCAACCAGTGGTGCAGACACCAGCTCACGCTCCGGATCCACCCCTGCCCAGCTGTGGCAACTGGGAACCTCTTGGAAGGTTAGTTTACCGATCAAGGAAATGGGCAATCACTGCTTCATAGGATTACTGTGAAAATTCAGCGAGATCATTTCTTAGCAAGGTGCACGGCCTCCAGCAGAGCCGGCTGTTTTGTCCACAGAACGGGGGATGAAGTCTGGTGACCCCAGAACCTATTAAAGGCATTAACGCCCACTACTCCCCTTCCGGACACTCTGGCCAAGGTGACAAGCGTACGCACTTTGATACGGCTGCATCTTCAAAGTAGCCTGGGCTGGGAGGGGTGGGGGGGGGGGCAGGACGCACGTGCCCCCGTGGATGGAGGTCTCCTGGGAGAAGAGCAGTACCTTATGTTGACAAGCGTGGCACTGACGTTTCGAATCTTCATGGGGATGGCAGAGCCCGTTCCGAGGAAAACGATTTCTGGGTACTGGCTTCTTTTCTCTGTGAAAAACACACGCAAAAGGGTCCATTTGTTTGGGTCAGAAGTGAGCCAGCATTCAGCCCCGAGAGGGGTAGGTGCAGCCTCCCAGGAGGGGCTGGTCACCCCACCTGGCAGGGGTCCTTCTGAGGCGGGGCCCCCGGCTGTCTGTGGATAAGTGGCTGTCTGGAAGGCAGAGCGGATAAACCCGGAGCCTTTCCTTCCAGAGACCTGCTCTAAGTCTTTCGCATCACAAAGGGCACTTCTTCAGGCTGTGATTCATTTACTACAAGGGGCTGGCATCCGCCTGGCGTCCAGTCCTTACCACCAGACCTGTTCTTGCAGGCGCCATAACCACACTGCTGGGGGAGGGGGGGGACCCCTGGCTTTACAGGGGTGCAAACAGGCTCAGAGGGTCAGCCCTCCAGATGGGAAGAGGCAGAGCCAGGACCGGAGTCCAGGGAGACCTGGTATGTCCCTTCCATGAGAGCCGAGGCTCTACACCAGCCCAGGCTGACTTCCCTGGAGAACCTACTGTCGGGGGGGTAAGGACCACCTGGCTGCATTAACGCCCCCCGCTTTCTAGTCCGGCGTTCTCTGCTTCTAGCACTAGTTGAAAAGCAGGCTAGAAAACCCAGCTACTGGAGCAGAGGTCCCCAAGCTCCCCGTAACGACTTTTCCTGATGGGGCAGTGAAAGCCCAGCAAGGTGAGTGACGTGGCCAGATCTGCCGTGGCTCCCTATTAGCCAAGCGAGGACCAGATCCCGAGTCGGCAGAGGTCCGGTACAAAGTTCTTTCCAGGGTCTTGCAGGAGCTCCCAGAACCGTGGCAGATGGTGCGTGCCCGCTACACAAGGGCTGGGCACCATCACCCAACGTTCGCATTGAGCTGGTCTTCAGTGGGGAGGGCAGGCGGGCAGGCATGGGTACGGGTGTTTTTGGAGAATAAAGCAGCACGGGGTTATGGAACTAGACCTGGCTGTCATTCTCCTTAGCGCTCTGAAAACACCCGCAGGAGGGCAGCAACCAGGAGGGGAAGGCGGCTCCGGGGTCTTCCGCTCACCTGCTGGGGCTGGGCCGTCCTGCATGGCCTCCCGGTATTTCTGCACGCTTTCCTGGAAATTGGGGAGCTCCAGGGCCTCAGCTATGAATTCATCGGGATTGTAGACAATAACAGCATCCCTGCAGGGAGGACAGCATCTCAGTGACCAAAGCGGGCACGCGGCCTCAAGCAGATGCCTATCTGCAGAAAGTTCTCCAAATCAAGACCGAAGACGAAGCAACCCGGGGCAGTTCTGTTCTCCTGCCATGTGGAACCCTTCTCAGTGAAGCGGGGACCTCGGAGCACGTTCTGAACAGCTTCGGCCCCTCAGGACATCTCAGCTCAGAGTCTGACGACCCTGGCAATACTGACATCCGGCAGGGTCCTGACCTCTGCCCGCCGGATGCCACCAGCACCCCCACGAACGTGGGCACAGCTCATCCCCCAAGAACGCTGTGGAAATGCAGGCCCTGACTTGGCGCCTTGGGGCTGGAACCCGAGGCTGTGTTCTACGACGTGGCTGGTCCCAGGCACACTGAGAGGCCAGCCTCGGATCGGCGGCTCTTCACCTGGACTGGGAGCTCTGCTAACCCGGGGGCTCACGCAGTGAGGCCAGGCCCAGCTCCCCAGGTTCTAACGCAGGAGGCCTGGGGTGTGCACTCTGCCCAGGTAAAGGCGAATCTGGGTATCGGCCAGGCTCCGAAATCCCAAGGCCGCATCTGTGGGCCCCAGTCACGCGACCACGTGGTCTCTCAGAAAACCCTACTCAACACCAGAGCCTCCTCATCCAGTTACAACTAACACGGACACAACGCAGCACACGGGAAGCTTCGACCTGTTCGAGATGCAGATCGGACATATGAGCCACATGGAGGGATTACTGGTGGGACCGTCCATGGGCAGAGCCTTTCTGGACGTCACGTTCACCGAGGGCCTCAGAACGGGTCACACCCCAACCCAGCCATCCCACATCTAAGAATCGCCCTAAGGGAACAAGAGTTCCACTCAAGACACTTACACACGAAACATTTAACGCTTTACATTAAACAACAACAACCTAGAAACATCTGAAATGAGCAAAACGTCCCTATGTGGAGAACCCATAAAAGTCTCGTTCCTGAAGGCTGCATAATGACTCGGGAAAAGACAGACCTGTCAGGCCACAGACCCACATACACACTTTCCAGAAGACTGCATTCCCCACGTGCTCCAATTTAAAAGACAAAACGTTAACGATTCTCTCTTATCTCGGAGGATGGGACCCAGGGTGCCTAATCTCCATCAAACACTCACGTTCTTTGTTGTAAAACAAGAGAAGCGGTATCACCATTATCATGAGGGAAAACGCCTTTAGGAAAGAATAACCGCTGGCCTCTTCTTCCCACCTCAGCCCGGACCAGAGCAGCCGGTTCCGGGGACGGATCTTGCTGGGGAACTCAGCCGCAGTGGCTCATTTACAGGTGCTCCAGGCCCCGGCGGCGGCAGGGACGGAGTTCAACACCCCGGACACACACCGCATGGCCCGCTCAGGCTGAAATATCTACCGCCTGGCCCTTCGCAAGAAGAGCTTGGCAACCCCCGATCTAGACCCTTTGGTCAGCTCAGAGTCCCACAGACCTCTGCCACTCCCTCCGAGGACGGAGCTGATACTTGAGGAGACATTCGCCCCGGACTGTGGGCACAGGGAAGGTGGCGTGTTCCTCCTGGAAGACACAAATCCCACTTGGTGGAGAGAAGGAACAGGCGAGGGGGCGGACCAGGGGGCTGCGGGGGACACTACCTGGCCGTGGGGGGTGGCGAGCGGGGGGAAGATGGTGGGGTGGATGAGGCTGAGCTGCGTCTGGATCTTGTGGCTGCGGAGATTGTGGACCGACGAGCAGCTCTCGTTCAGGACCAGGTGCTGGGTGGCAGGCCCAAACCTACGGCAAAGCGACGGGGCGTTCACAGCGCCCTTTAGGAGGACCCCCACGGAAGGGGTAGCGGCGACACAAGGGGCAAAGAAGGTAGCGGGAAGGGTTCAGAGAGACTAAGTGGCGGGTCCAGAAAGACCGGCTGACACGGTCCCACTCCTCTGCCTCCAAGCCCAGTGCCCTCTCCAGACCGAAGCGCCTCGGGCTGTGCTGGAAGGAGCACCGAAGAACCCAGAAGGCTGAGATATCCGGAGCCTGCAGCCAGGGACTGGGAACAAAGTGGAGTACGAGGCGGAAGAAGGGGCGGCACCGTACAGGGTAGGACGCGGGCCCTCCAGGGAGGGCGGGCCATGAGCAGGAGCCTTCGGGGCTCGTGAGGAAGGAGCAGAGGGGGCGCCTGGGACGCGCAGGCGGGGAGGCTGGAACAGCACCCAGGCACCGGGGGCTCCGAGTTCAGCTCCAACACTCCCTCCACCCGGCTGCTGAGCTTGGCCAGTGGGGCCCCGAGGAGAAGGCAAGGTGACCCCTTCTCTAGTTACTAGATGCTGGTAGACCTCGCAGGGTGGATGGCAAGAGGGAAGGGAATGGAATGAGCTGCAGACCCGTCCACACCCCGCCTGTCAGTCCCTAAACTGAGGCTCACGGAGAGCGGGTGGCAGGTCCTCCTTCGGACAGAGTGGGGAGGGTGGCAGGTGGATCCAGCTGGGCCCGACACAAGCTTTCTGCACCAGCGGTACTGCTGTCTGCTCCCCAAACTCACCCCGAACTCCGGGAGGGCAGGGAGCCCCGGCAAGAAGGGGAGGGAGCACCTCCCGGCGCAAGGGGGAGGACGGATGGAAATGCGTCCTACCTCTCCATCCACTGCTGGTATCTGGGGTCCGCAAGCACACACTCTGGGGCCATGTGAACCACGAGCGCCACGGGGGCGTCGGCATTTTCTTGGTACCTGGGCGGAAGGGAGGAGGAGGGGAGTTGGGCTTTGTACGGCGAGGCAGACTCACAACCTCCACAAACGGTGACCGTGCGGCCAGGGAAGGGCACCGCGCCGCTTGCTCTCGGGGACTGCGGGGACCCACGGCCTCCGCACCCAGGCCAGGCTGTGCCCGGGCTGCTCCTAGAGGTACTTGAGCCCAGCAGGGCACCAACCCGGGATTCCTCTAGTCCGCAGGTTCTGGGGCTGGCCCCTGGGCCTTCCCACTGAGAGCCCGAGCCTCCTCCTGCCCCCTCCAGGCACAGGGCTCTGACCTGCGGAGCAGGACCCAAGCTCTCCCAGCCTCTTCTTGCTCCCGCTCTCCCTTATCTTTCACAGGACCTTCCCCCATGAATCTCGGGCACCCGCAGTCCCACCTTGCCGTCTGCCTTCCAGCAGACCCAAGCCACGGGCGTGGAGAATTAATATTGTCTGTAATTCCGTCTAGAGTTGTCACTTACTAACACACTGCGGTGCTTCCTTCCGGTTCCTCCCCCCAGAAAATACACGCAGTACTTTCTCCCTCTCCCTCCCTTCCACACAACGGTGACCTGATGAGAACGCAAAGCCTGGGCCGCCACGGAACCTGGATTCACCCAGTGAGAATCAAGTGCATCTCAGGGAGAGCTGCCAACGCCAACTTAAAAGCGTTATAGCTGCCCAAAAAAGATCTGTTGTGATAAGCGGAATAAAACACTACGTGCAAAACATAAATACAAATGAGGAACAGGAGAAATATGCGTAGAGTAAACCATTAGGAATGGGAGAGAAATGAAAACAGCGATGTGGGGGTCAAAGCTCCCCGGGACTGAAGCTGAGCTGCCCGTGGGTCCACTTTCTTGGGCGACGAGAGAGAATGGCACCTGGGCCACCAGAAGAGCAGACCAAAGGTGTGTCCAGACTGAGAGTCTGTCCCGTAACACGGGCCCTCGACCAAGACGGTCTCACAGCCTTCAGACCCGCCTACTCAGATTCAATACAGGCAAGCGAAGAAAACTTACTTAGGTAAAAATAACCCAAAAATGATCGGGGTATTAATTAGAACTGAAGAAAGTTCTAGAATTTGTCCTAGACTTAGCACTCTAACAGGCCACTGGTATTCTAGTCGGCAAGTGGTCTCTGGCTTTCGCTCTTTTCTAAATTCACTTCCAAGGCTGTGCGCACAAAGCCCACCGGCAGGAGTCTGGAACTCAGCGTGGCCTTCCGCAGCCACGGCTCGGTGCCAGGAGCAGCCATGGGTCAGGCAGACACCCTGACCCCGGTCGATGCCGGCTGGGCTCCCCCCACCCCCAGAGCCCTCATCACCTCTTGAAGGTGGCGTTCTCACAGATGGGTTGAATGAATCCTTCGTCCGGACATTCTACCACAACAAAGGCAAGACCAGGATCCGGAGGAGTACAGATCTCTTCAGGCAAAATCTGCAAAATCACTGGGGTCACGGTTCTCTCCCAGGGCAGAGTCACAGCTTGGCAAACACACTGACTGGCCTTCAAGTCAACTGGCCACCTTACACATAATCCTTCCTGAACAAGCACAAAGCCAACAGGAGGATCACCACCCATGCCCTTGCCGTGTGCTCTGCTTATGTATGCCCAGGAGGCTGGCTTGCAGAGGACGTCTCAAACCCAGGGTGGCCACGAAACCAGGCGGGGCATTCACGGTGCCCTCAGGTCTGCGGCCACTGGTCCTGACAACCTTAGATGCCGGAGGAAACATCCTGGCTAAGAACACAGTGGCATTCCCTGGGGCCAGGGGCCTAAAATCCATCCCTCGGATGCTAAGTAGATGCTCCCAAAGGCAGGCAGCGTGGACAAGCGGGACAAGTCCAGATAAGAGACCCTGCTGTATCGCTCAGCCCAGTGAAGGAAGTCTGAGCTGTTCTACTTCCCTCAAAGGGGAGGTCTGGACCTGTGTTCCACGCCCCAGCCGTCACTGCCAAAACATCGCCAAAACGGGGCGTCTCACCTCTCTGCCCTCGTAAGTGATGCTCTTCCCGTCCTTAACGGCAGCAATGATGGGAGCGATGGCAGCTGTCCCGCTGGAAGAAGGGGCCAGCCGTCCGTGAGACGGGGTGCGGCAGGGACACAGGCGCCCCC